AACTCTGAAAGTTGTGGTGGACACCTAGACGACGGAAAACAAACACACGAAATAATTATCAAAAGAGTAAAATAACATGAAAAAATATTTAGTGGGATGTTTTGAAATTTCGGATGTAAATTTTACACTGATAATAATTTCACACATTTTTGCCTCCGTACATAATTATATATATATTTGCATATAGCCACTCACATATAAGCGACCTCTTCTGGTATTTTGTACATATATCTGTTTACTTGTCCATCTGCACGCCCCGAATGGTTTTGTGTGAAACAAAAACTTTCTGTTAATCCAAGTATGGGAAACTCGAACTGTTTTTTTTAAAGATCAATTAGGGACAATTTCGTTGATTTTCTTTGTTGAATTTTTTTGTAAACACGATTTTCTGCATAATTATTTTAAATTTCTCTGGTAATTTTACTTCCATATTTGGAGTAATGAAAAAAATTAATAATGTTTGATCTTTAGCACAACATCGATAAATCAAATCAATGCGTTTAGTTTATATTTTAAAAAATATGGATAATTCCTATCGTTTTCTTTATACGTATTTCGATTATTTATTTATAGTTTTTGTATTTGGGAGCATTTACACAATGCATCTTGTAAAAATGTATTTGTCATCATTTACACATTGCATCTTGTCAAAATGTATTTGTCATCATTTACACATTACATCTTATCAAAACGTATTTGGGAGCATTTACACAATGCATCTTGTAAAAATGTATTTGTCATCATTTACACATTGCATCTTGTCAAAATGTATTTGTCATCATTTACACATTACATCTTATCAAAACGTATTTGTCATCATTTGTACATTACATCTTGTAAAAATGTATTTGTCATCATTTACACATTACATCTTGTAAAAATGTATTTGTCATCATTTGTACATTACATCTTGTAAAAATGTATTTGTCATCATTTACACATTACATCTTATCAAAACGTATTTGTCATCATTTGTACATTACATCTTGTAAAAATGTATTTGTAATCATTTACACATTACATCTTATCAAAACGTATTTGTCATCATTTGTACATTACATCTTGTAAAAATTTATTTGTCATCATTTACACATTGAATCTTGTAAAAATGTATTTGTCATCATTTGTACATTACATCTTGTAAAAATGTATTTGTCATCATTTACACATTACATCTTGTCAAAATGTATTTGTCATCATTTGTACATTATATCTTGTAAAAATGTATTTGTCATCATTTACACATTACATCTTGTCAAAACGTATTTGTCATCATTTACACATTGCATCTTGTCAAAACGTATTTGTCATCATTTACACATTACATCTTGTAAAAATGTATTTGTCATCATTTACACATTACATCATGTAAAAATGTATTTGTCATTATTTACACACATTGCATCATGTAAAAATGTATTTGTCATCATTTACACATTGCATCTTGTAAAAATGTATTTGTCATCATTTACACATTACATCTTGTCAAAACGTATTTGTCATCATTTACACATTACATCTTGTAAAAATGTATTTGTCATCATTTACACATTACATCTTGTAAAAATGTATTTGTCATCATTTACACATTGCATCTTGTCAAAACGTATTTGTCATCATTTACACATTACATCTTGTAAAAATGTATTTGTCATC